TATGAATTATTAAACCAACATACAATTGGTTTGTCACTTGATTAAATATCGATATTTGATGAAGGAATTAAAAAATTAATCAGCTATAGCCGTGGCTAGCCAGCTATGATCGGCTAGCCGGTAATAACCGACCGATAACCGACCGTAACTGACCAAGTCCATCCCTATTATGGTATCAGGTATGAATAGCTCTCGACATCGGGCATAAGTTGATGCTGAATGTAAGGTGCTCTTGATACTGGGTGTAAGCTATTACTAATATTTTCAATACTAGGTATACAAGTGTTAATATTTGAAAAAGGCTGAGGGTTTGCAAACCCAGGATTTTGTCTGCGTGACTTTGGTTCATGTTTATTACCAGGAATAAAGACACAGAGTCGATTGTGTTTTTTACAGCTTGTACAGATGTCCTCCCCAGAAAGTCTTTCGCATCTTCCATGTCTCCATTGACAATTTATACATGCTAAAGTCGTGTTAGTACGTGTTTTTTGTTGAGGCATTATTTTATATGCACCGAAAAAAGGGTCCAACTTTGTGATAACAGTAATTTTTACAATAGTATAAATATAATCTTACTTTGTTGCAAGCGAAAATTTGAAAAAATGCGGTTCTAAAAGGTTTTTATATTGACTGTTGTCTTCAAGAAAGTAATTTTGAAGTGATTAAAGTCTGAAAGCGAAAGCTTATATTAGTTTTTTTTTTTCTTTTTTTTTTTTTGGCACATTTATAAAAAAAAAAAAGACTTGTGAAATTAGTGCGCTTTTCAAATTACTGTGATCAGCAAATTTATGTATCATACTGGAAATCAGGAATCAGAAATTTAACAAATCTGTAATTGGTTTGAAATAATTCTTGGCCAATCATGTATTTTAGATTTCAGATTCCGGTATTATACGTACCGAGAAAATTATGATAAAGAACAAAAAAGGAATATATTGTGTAACTTAAGAGAGAATAAACAATACAGTCTCAAGATTGTGCATGTAGTTTGAGTTAACAATTCATTCTTATTTCGTAACAAGTCTATTTGTTTTTCCTATATTTTTACACATAATACGTACAAACTTTCAATAATGATAATAATCAACATATATATGCATGAATGTGTAATGTGTGAATGTACGTCATACATGTATTTTCCCACCTGATATTATAATTAACCAATGTGATATGCAAATCTTTTTTATCTCTCTCTTTTTCTTATCAAGTGATTCGACCATCAAAGAATGAATTTCCAAATGCAATATACTATTATTGGATTCAAAAATAATGTGAAACCCATGAAGATCTAATGTTGGAATGATTTCAAAATTATCTGTCCGTAAATCCCAGATAGAGGTGGGAAAAATACGCATTTATAAAAACATGCATATTAATGCGCATTAATATGCATGATATATACAATGCACATGATACCGCATAATAAAAATTTTTTTCATAATTTGTATTTTTATTAATTGCAATTTATTTAAATAAAGATATAAATTCTTAATCAAATATTGCCAACATATATAAATTTTTACTAATTTACCAATTATAAATTTTATCGTTATTTATCATCTATAATAAATTATAAATTTAAATAAGAATGTAGATAAACTTACTATTTAATATATAGTCTTAATAAATATAAATCTTATAACTCTTATTTTGTTTTTATATATATTTTTTTTGTTATCTATTAATATGCAAGATTTTGTACACAGTTGCCTGTAATTTATACTAAATTTTATGCATAAAATTGTAAAACCTAATATACTATAATCATATTTAGAAGCAACTTTGAATCAAAAACCTCTAATTTTTAAGTAAATAATATTGTGTTTATTATAATAATATTCTTGATTCAAAGTTGATCCGATATATAATAAATTTTATTATACCAAAATTCTTCTATATAAAATCTTTGATGGGATAAAATGCGCATGATTCGGAATCATGCGCATGAATGCGCATGAAACCCATCTCTAATCCCAGAACTCGGCGAGATACTTTCTCGCCTCTTCCCATTATGGAATTAATGATCTACAACTAATAAAAAAAATGAGAATTTACAAATAAGGGCCCAAAAATGAAAATAATTACAAATAAAGACCCAAAATGAAAATAATTACAGATAGGGGGGCCGATATTTGGAAATTATTACAGATAAGGGCCCAGAATAATCATGAGCTTAAGAATCTATGATTTAGACCCTGTTTTGATGATTTGAATATTATTGTAATATAGTCATTAATTGTTAAAATAAGAAATGTAATAATAATCTATTAGTAATTCGAATATAAATTCAAATGCACAATAAAAATGTATATTCGATTCGT